TGGATAGAGTTCATAAAGATGAAAGACAAATAAGAAAAAACAATTCAACAATAAACTCACAGAAAGACATCTTCATTTGTCCACAATGCATGGGATACCAGCACAGAGAAAAAAGGTAGAGTAGAGTAGGGCTTAGTAGCCTTTATTTATGACTCCTGGTTAATGACTTAAATCTTAAATGTATATGTGAACAAAGTTGTGCACACAAACTCCACAAAATCTGAATCTGTACAACACCTTCACAAAACCCCTGAAATCCTGCACCCTGATTTTGACCTAAATACTAAAACTTCAATTAGACAAGTACTGAATGGAATTGTGTAAGTGTGTCTGTAGTGTAGCCAGTAGACAGTTTCACAGTGAGGTGCTGCCTTCATGTGGTGACATTAGTGTTATAGCAACCTCAAAAAACTGTTGAACAGAAAGGACATCACACACATTGCATTTTATGTTGTTATTAAATCACTGTTGTACATTTAAATATCTAAATTAGTGCAGGGCTTAACAGTATGAACTTCATGTTGGTTTTCACTGAATGAAAACAATGAAAACGATCACAGTTAATATCCACCATCTCTGACGATACCTGTACAAATGAGTAATATCATCAAACAATATTAAGAGTCTTAATGCTCTGTGTGGCTGTATATAGGTACAGTGCTACTTTGAGCTTCTTTTTTTAAAAAATAATAGATAAAATCACTGAAACCAGGTATGGTCACTCCTGCCCGGACACCCCAAGAACAGTTGTATTGCTGCCTTAATGAGAGCTTCAGCAGTCCATTCAGGAGCAAAAACAATAATGATACTTATCTTCTGTATGTATCTGTATCTGTATCTGTTTGAATACTGGGGTGTAATCTGTATTAGAATCGAGGGCTCTGGTGTACGCTAGGCAGATCTCAGTGTCCTTAATCATATTTATAAACGATGTCCGTCCATCATTTCCATAGTCATCATAAATGTTAAGGAAAGCAGCCCAGCACCAGTTGAAGTGCTGCAAAATCTTTACAATCACTTCTATGACGTCTTTATTGGGATGCACTGTTTGTACGAAAGAGGGGAAATGCCGTGGGTAATTATTGGGTTACCAGCTGGTATTGTTTTCACACAGTTTGCATAAACACCTGGTTTTCAGGCAAGGTTTAACACAAACTACCAATAGTCGAACCATTGGCAGTATGGACAGGGCTGGACAAGTGTCTTAAACCTGCATTCTATGCACCTTCACCATCAGGGAGTACTCATTCCTTGTCTTCATCATCTGATAGATCCATACATTTCTCAAAAACCATAAAAGGTTGCTTTTTTGAATATAGGATATGTGACCTGCTCCATCATTTTGAGTCACTTTGACCCAGAAACACATTTTGAGTTTTCTTCATGGCTGTAAAGAGGAAAGTCTCAGCTTTGTGGCGATACCAAAATTATTTTTCTACTCCAAAATTGTATGAGACACGCTCCTCCAAAGGTCGACTGTCACCAAACCTTGTTTTTGAGAAAAAGGGCTCTAAAGATAGCGATCAACATTCCGCCATATTCCAAATGAATTGAAAGACATTTATAAATAGTTTATATTAAAATAAATAAACTTACAATTCAAAATGCTTTACATCATTATAATCAGAGACATTGTATGCTACCATCGGGTCAGCCAGGAGTGGAATATCTTCCTCCTCGCCTCCATCACACTCACTTTCTTTGCCATCCCGATCGGAGCCGGCCGGTGTCGGTGGCGCGAAATCTGAGTCAGACTCCGAGGTCGAGCCGCCGCTGTCACTCTCACTCTCAGCTGCCGGTGCGGTGAAATAGTCTGTAATAAGGTCGATCCAGTAGTTGTCTGAAGTAGCATGTCTTACAGGAATTGAATTTAAAAGTCGAGCAATGTTGTCGTCGCGAAAATTCATTTTGTCTAGGCTGTCAATCTGTCAATCTGACTCCGTGTCCGTGTCTATCTAACCTGACAGTTGACACAGATGACACAAACACGCTAGCCGGTGTTTTAAAATCTGACACCTGTTTCGTTTTATTTATGCTAGCTATATTTATCCTTTTATATTATTTTATAGTATTTTACATTAATTTTGACATTGTATGAAAGCTGAGACTTTATTTAATTAGAAACATGTAAAAACTGAAAATAGCCCAACATTTTATTTTCTTGTAAAAACGTGTTTCTACACAAACGGGCCTCTGCGACATCTGACTCATTTTGATGGAACGCGTCACATATATACAAACAGTTCAACAAGAAAATCACAGAACATTGCCGTGAGAAAATAAGTTAAAATTAAAGCTGCAAGCAGTGTTGGGCGGGACCTCACACTCAACGCAACTCGGGGCGTGCTGCAGCCGCGTCGCATGCCGTCGTAACACGTGCAAACCACAACATGAAAATCTGCCGTTAATCAGCTCAAAATCGCCACGCAGTGCTTACTTCCTGTTGCCAGTAGGTGGCGCTATCACTATGTCTGAATATTGTCATGTACACATGTTCAGGGCGGGACTGTTATCAAGCATTTGAAGTGTGGAGCCGATTGGACAATGTACACTCGAATTCGTGTTTTGTGGCGGTCCATCAAAATTTCCCGCCACCCCACAGACATGTCCCCTCACCACAGTCAACACATATCATCAACAATGTGGAGGAGGAGTTCGTTCAAATACAACGCGAAAAGTTCGCCGAAAGTGAAAATGAAAATCAAAATGGCCGACTTCCTGTGGGGTTTCGGGTATGGGTCCAAGAGGCTTTTTTGTACATCCCGGCATGTTACACGTGCCTAACGAGTTTTGTACATATCGGTGAAACATGGCGCCGAGGCTGCTGTTTTTTTATCCTGTAGGGGGCGCTACAAACACGACAAACACGATTTTTGGTATGTGAGCTTCAGGCACCACTCTACACGTGCCCTGTGAATTTCATATTCATAACTATTACGGTCTCTGCACAGTGATTTACCATGCCACAAGAGCGCCACCTAGTGGCGGATTGTTGACACATTTTTTAGCGAGCCTCAGGGAGCCATGGGGAAGCATTGTACCAAGTTTCATCTTAATCACGCATACTGTTGTAGAGATATAAACTTCTACATTTTAAAGAGCACCACCTAGTGGCGATGGCCTGAAATTGTGCACGATGCTTAAGGAAGACATGTGGAACTATGGACCCAAGTTTGGTGTCAATCGGACATACCAATGTGGAGAAATGGTCCACTTCATTTTTTGACGAAAAATCTACAGGAAGTTGGAATTTTAACGCGTTCTTGTTTTTTGAAATTTCACAAATGTTCAAATTACTCTTTTTGCCATTCACCGAACGCGTGGATACAAGGTTTATGAATGTGCGACAAACTATGCAGAAGTTTTTAGCCTAAAAGCACTTTTTATGATAGTAGTGCCACCTAGTGGCCAACCCGAAAGCGATGCATAGAATATCCCCATTTTCACCAGGCCTGACAACTTTGCCAAATAAAATTGACTTTTCGTCCTGGTCGCTGGCTCGGTCCCTAATAATCACATTATATTTCCAAAAATTTAGTCTGTGTCCATAAAGATCGAAAAACACAGGGATACAGGCACTGAGAAAAAATGGTGGCACACAGTACATTAGTGCTAAGTAGCCTTTATTTATTACTTCTGGTTAATGAGTTAAATCTTGAATCTATGAACAAAACACAAAATCTGAATATGTACACCAATAAGTTCTGACATCCTGCACCCTAATTTTAACCTCAATACAAAAACTTAAATTATACAAGTATTTGTGTGCTGGTAGTCTAGCCCAGAGGATTTCAAGGTGAAAGGCGAGCCAGGGGTGCTCCAAACAGTTTCAGGGGATGCTCAGTGAATGAAAAAAATATTACATTGGTTATTACATAAGTTATCAAAAGGAGATCACATAGCCTAGATTCAATTTCAGTTCAATTCAATTTTATTTTATTTGTATAGCGCCAATTCATAACAGAAGTTATCTCAGGACACTTTTCAAACAGAGCAGGTCTAGACCGAACTCCTTATAACATTATTTACAGAGACCCAACAAGATGTGTGTCATTTGATTAAATAGATAGTTCAGAGATACAGTAGTTCTGGAGAATTTGAAAATAGTTTTCTCACTTTCAAAGTCAGAAACTGAGAAATGCACAGACCTTTTTTCATGTATTTGGTGTCGGAAGTTATAGCCTATGTCATATTAAGCTGTCCTTCCTAAGAAGCATCCCTTATGACTTTCTTCTTTCCTGGAGATAAAAACAGCTTATTCTAAGATAACAAAAATATAGTGATTCCTATATTCAGGTAATTATACAATAATGAAAACATACCTTTGAATATTATATTCGAATTATATATTTTTGCCAATAGATCCTCCTAAATGTTATACACTGGACCTATAACGGCGTGATGTTAACTTGCAAGCAATCAAATATGTTTCCATTATTGCTGTGTTGATGATGTTTTCAATTATTTGATTAAAGAGGATGCATTAGTCCTATGGTATACATGTTCACAACATGTTCACAACAATGCTACTATAAATGCTATTAGAAAAACAACCAGCTACTTACATAAACTGACACATCAGAGTTTGATTATACAATGGAAATGGGGAGATTTGTTTATCCATCCAGTATATGTTATATATATATATTTCACACAGATTAAGTGAAAACTTTGACCTGTTGGTGGCTGAAGAAAAGTTAGGGGCAAATGGATTCAGCCTCTAGTAGTGGACCGACTGACCTACCACCAACAGATAAGCATGCTCCTTGCATGGCAAAAAATACATTGTTCATCAGATGCTAGCAGCATGACTCTACGTATGGTAATGTTGGTAACTTAATGATCCCCTGACTTCCCCTGACTCAATCACTGTATATCATTAGCCTCACTTGCACTTTGTATGTGGTACTATTAGCAAATGTTAGCATACTAACAGTATAAGTAAGATGGTAAGACCATACCATTTAGCTCAACAGACGATCTGTGAGACTGTACTCCCCTGTACTGTTTTATAATTACAGTCTCACAGAGCTGATAGCATTGCTTTTCTCAGAGGTTCTGATTAATACTAAGAGGTTTCAACTATCCTCGAAACAAAAATATGGGTGCCTCTTGTTGAAATGTTAATCGTTGTATATAGTTATAGCTAATTTCAAGATGTTTGTTAATGTATCCCTCATTAAAACAACAAAATAACCAATCAGAAATATATGTAACATGCAACATTAGGTTACAACAAAACAGAGACAAAGATTGAAACTACTATGTACTTTTTTTGACCATCTACTCTAAAAAGCCAAATTGTTATTCTTTCATTGAGTAGTATTCAGAAGGCCTAAAGTTAATCAGTTCTTCTGTATACAGTAATAGATATTCACTAGAGGCTGCTACTGGCTAATTGTTTTGGTATAATTCTGAATGAGACTTTGGAAGTACTGCTGTGTGTTTTTGTACGATTGAAAAATGATGATGTAACATTTTGGGAGGAAATAAAACAACAGAAAGGAGTAAAGACTGGAGAGTACTGCCAAAGCTTTCAGTGTTGGGATGTACTTTCCACGGTAAAGTACATATACAGTGGAGAAGATGATCCAGGTGAGGATGAGTAGGAGCAGGCAGAAGGTTATTGCTTTGGCCTCATTGTAATTTTTTGGGAGGTCTTTTCCCATGTAGGAGAAAATGAAGCAAAGGGAGCACAAAGATAAAAGTAAAACCAAAGGACCAGACAATGCTTTAAGATTAATGTCACAACCAAGTATGATTTTGTCTGGGTACCAAACTGTCTCATTGTAGGGCTTGGGTGGGACACAAGAATAGGCAATAAGAAGCAAGAGTGCCTGAGTAAGAAATGCCACAGTGATGACCAGCCATTGTACATGATATTTCATCCACCAACTGTTGATCTTGTGGAACTTGGCAGCTATTTTGAAAATGCAAACAATTTGGAAAGAGCGAACCACAAAACATGCCAGACAAACAGTGTAGAACAAAATAAATGGCAAAACCCTTAAGATACAAAAGGAAGTTGTTGGTTTACCAAAGTAAAAGAACACACTAAGACTACACAGACCGAGGCAACCTAAAATTAGGAAGCACATTGGTCCCCCAGCAGATCTGACAACAGGGGTGTTGTAGTTGATGGCAAAGAGAACGGACATGGCTAGTGTGAGACCCATCAAGGTGCAGGCCCCGACCATGATCACTATAGCCCCACTGTCTGTGAATGGGATGTACTCCACCACCCGCAGACTGCATGATGTACTTCCTTCTGCAGACCATTCTGTCTCCTTACAGTTGATGCACTTGTAGGGATCCTCTGTTGTACATGAGAAAATTATAATTTGTCAATAAAGTTAGGGTTAACTTTTGAAAAATCTTCTGTGGGTAAAGAGAGATCAGTTTAGGAAGCAGTGTTCGATGTTTCATCTGTGTATGTTCTCTTTGCATTACAGTTTACAGTGATATACGGTAGAGGTAACTGCATGTGAGAGAAAATGTAAGCCTATTGGCTGCATCAAATTAACATAAAATGACTGTTAAACCCTCTAGCTATAAAAACAGTTTTAAAATGAACTCCCATCCAGTAAAGAATAACAGCACTGCTAATTGTCTTCCTCTGATGTATTATAATTTACCTGTACTGTTGACATATGTTCCATTTGGACAGATTTCACATTTGAAGCAGCATTTGTGGATTCCATCATACATTTTTGAATATCCTTCAGAACATTCTTGGGAACACTGTGAAGTAGGCACCTGTACAAGACAATTATATAGCAGAAAAGTAAACGTAAGTGCACGATAATACCATAAAGAGGTGACGGCAGAGGATGGAGAAATAGCAGTAATTAGACGTATGTAAAATGAAGCCAAGTATTATATCTAAACGTCCATGCGAATGACACCATAAACAACCACCTTTGGTTGATGTTCCTGATGTTGTGGTTTGCTCCCTGTCACAGTTATTACTAAACAAACATATGTTTATGCACATGCACATTCATCCACACACAACCCTGCAGAAATGGGAAAACCAAAACAAAGTGTTTTTTTCAATCAACATGTACCGTATAAACTCTTCGTAAGAAAACACTTACTTCTCCCGTTGTGTACCACTGAATTTTGCTGTTGTTGATGTAGAAATTCAACAATGGGTCATAATGATAGAAGCCGACCTTTTCTGCATCCCCACTGTGGTTCCAGAAAACGATGGAGTTCGATCCGTGCTTGGGGTCACCATTCTCATCAAACTCAATACTCCGGTTTAAAAGTGTAAAGTTTGACTTCCTCAGCTGTGCTAGAACCTGATGTGGGTACAGAAAGTTCAGATTAGTTGCATGTGTTCACAATGAACATATGAGGTGTTTAGTAAAAAGGTTTTTAAAAATATTGAATGAATTGAGAATTGAGTTCTCATAAGGCTTGACAAAGGCTTGTTGAAACTGAAACTTTGTTATATTTAAAGTATGCTATAGGAAGCCATCAGTAGAGTGGTTGGATCTATTATCTGATTTCTAATGTTTGACAGATAAAAGTCAGGTTTGATTGTTAAAGATTAAAAGTCTTTTCATTTACATGTCTTATACTGTGGTTATACTAATGTCTTCTTATCACTAAAGCCAGCCTGTATTTTGTGTTAAGATTGGTCACTTTCAAGTAGGCTTGTCAGAAATATAAATGGTCAAAAATCAGAGGGTGAGAACAAATTAATCGATTTCTTAAATTATTTGTATACTTACCATATGTGGGTACACTGTAATATTGCCATTACATCCACCAGATCCGCATTGCAAAGTATTGTGTAAGGCATGAGCGATGGCATATACAGCAGAATAAACAGGAAAAGAGAAAGATGGGTCTGCAGCAATGATATCTTCTGCACTCAGGTTACTGCAGCTGCAAACCTGATTACAAAACAACTGTTGTTCTGCATTTTCACAATGATTCTGACTTTTTGAAGAATAGATAAAATCACTGAAACCAGGTATGGTCACTACCGGCTGAGACACCCCAAGAACAGTTCCGATACTTTTGATTCCTTTCTCCGTGGGGAGCTTCTTGTTTAAGGACCATGCATCTCCGGCTATCCACACCTTGTCTTTGATTTTCAGTTGTATTGCTGCCGTAATGAGAGCTTCAGCAGTCCATTCAGGAGCAAAAACAATAACGATATGTATCCTCTGTGCCTGTATCTGTTTGAATACTGGGGTGTAATCTGTATTAGAATCGAGGGCTTTGGTGTACGCCAGGCAGATCTCAGTGTCCTTAATCATATTTATGAACAATGTCCGTCCATCATTTCCATAGTCATCATCAATGTTAAGGAAAGCAACCCAACGCCAGTTGAAGTGCTGCAAAATCTTTACAATCACTTCTATGACGTCTTTATTGGGATGCACTGTTCGTAAGAAAGAGGGGAAATTCTTTTTTCTCGAAAAGACAGAACTAGCAGCTCCATAACTGATCTGTGAAAAGAGTAATGGAGACATTGTATTATCAGTGAAATGGGGCGCAACACGCTCAACTTCTAAATATTCCTGAATCCTAAATACTGAAAATCGTAAAGAAAATTTGCAATATAAATGTACAAAATTATTTTCTGTGAAAATAAATTCTCAAAAAAATTAAAAGCTTGATATATAATTGTTTTATTATTTAAACTGGTAAAAGATTGATTGAAAAAACTAAAGTTGGCAAACTTACCATGGGAATGAGATTCATCATGAAGAGTGGGGCTACAGTCCGTGTCTCAGTGCTTGTATAAGTGCCGACCACTGCTATCACTTTGGACAAATTCTTGTGTGGTTCATGCCAAGGTTGGATCAAGCCATTGTCTGAGATGAGGTTGAAAATTTCTGGGAAACTCTGTGCATCTGAGCAGTGGTCAAATATTTGATAGCCAAGAGACACATTTGGCAGAATGTTGGTAGAGTTATTGATTTCCTCTACAGCGAATCTCATCAACTGAAACCTCCGATAGCTTGACAGAATGAAGGGCTGACTGAGGACAGAGGAAGGACAGTGAGAGAGTGTAAGAATCAGTTTCATTGTTAAAGAATTACTCTTCAAGTATTTGTGAAGTCTGTGCAGACACAGCTATCTAAAAGAGGAAGGGAAGAAGCACTAAGGTTGATAATGCAGACTTGATGTTCCTTGACTTTGATAATAGAGTAATTCATTAAATTGGTTTTGAAGGAAATATGCTATTAGCTATATACATTGACCTGAGATTTGAGTCAAAACTATAATTGGTTATACTAGGTGCTCTTCATTAGTTGTAGATTGCATTTACTCAGATTTATTAGAAAACTCACCTGGAGCAGTCAGTGAATTCTGGTCTGTCATGATAAACAGAGACATTGGAATGATGAATATTAAAAAGTCCACCTATCAAATAATCTCCTTTTAGTTGAAACTCTGAGGTTCGGGCAGTGCATTGAGCCAAGGCTTGTAGAAAAGTCCCAAAGAGAAACAGACCAGCAAGACAGTGTTTCATTGTGGTAGTTATTGTTTACCAATCTGTTGTGAACTCTCATGGGATTACCTTTACCCTTAACAAGTTATGAGACAGTGGTGATGACAAGCCTCATTTCCATGAAATTGGAAGTAAATGAGGTGTCATAAATAGACACCTATGATTAAATGGAAGACAATACACAAATCAGTATGCAAAAATCATCTAAACTGCTGCCTAACACTAGCATGCCTGTGATGTATGCACGAATGTGTTTTAAAATAATCATGAGTAAGTAACTTTTATGCTTCTATCATGAATAAATCTGGTAATCCTAGAAATGTTACTTCCTTATTTTAGTCAAATAACCAACTAAAAGTTCAAACTTATAATGTGCAAACATAAAAGTTTGAAATATATTTATATATTTGTTTCTTTTTTGCCTTTATTACTGAAGCACAAATTATTGCTCACAGCGACAACCAGAGCACCTGGACCAAACATCACCGGAAACAGTGTGATCAAACCAGAAAGAGACATGGGATGAGAACTAAACTAACCCAGCTGAGACCTAAGGTTATTCCGCTACCCAGCCTAGTCCTGGCTAATGTCAGAATGCAGAAAGATAAAATTGATAAAATAAGAGTCAGAGAATCAGCTGTGCTCTTATCTTTACTGACATCTGGCTCTAACAAAACATCCCACATCAAGCTATTGCACTTGACCTGCAGAGCGTGTTCCACGCTGACAGAACACACAAGTCTGGTAAAGTGAGAGTAGGCCGACTCTGTGTTTACATCCAGTTGAAGTCCACGCAGATGAAGTGGAATGTGTGGCATTTTTGTTGTTAAGATGTCAACCATATTATCTGGCCAGAGAACTCACCAGAGTGTTGGTGTTACATTCCCCCAGACTCAGGTCATCAGCCGTCACATGACAATGAGACGGCTTAATGAAACAGACCTCAGAACTGTTTTACCTAAATTCCACCAGCATGTCCACATCCCCTTCAGGGGAACAAATACACCGGGCCATATTTACATGAATATTCCTGGCAGCTACCAAGACTTTCCCTGTGCCCAGTTTGGTCTATCAGACCACATTTCCCTGCTTCTCCTGCCTACTTGCACCCAACTGATTAGAAGGGTCAAACCATCAGTAAAAACTTTTCAAGTGTTAGGTTAGGTAAGGTTAGGTTACTATATTTGTGTCTGTACAAAAGTGTGGACAGATGAAGCCACAGCAGCACTACTACACCACAGACTGGCACATGTTTAAAGAGAGGACATCACCCTGGAGAACCACATAAATCTTGAGGAATCTATCATCAGTGACATGATATGTCAGCAAATGTGTTGATCACAAAGACAGTAATGTGTGTGTTTGAACTTCTGGGTGAAGGAGAGGATTCCAGGTACAGAGGAACACGTTTTTATCCACTTTTAGACCAGATTTGAACAATCAGTGGTTTTTAACTATATTTCAGTTAGACAAGTCACGTTTGAAATGTTTATTACAGCAGTACAACAGTCAGATTTTGGTGTCTAGCTCAAAGGCGTCGCTCCATTAGTGCTAGCTGACTTTTAGCTTGGTCTGCGTTAAACTTTGCACTTGGCCTGGGAGAGATGAGTGTTGAGGGTCAGAACTTCTTCCACGCCAAATTGCTCAGAGCCATGGCAGACAATCAAGAGGCAAACATCACAATGGTTGCTCCCTAAAATAAATGCTAAATTCCACCTAAAATGATTCAGAAATTTGATTCAGGGGTGGTCGATGACAAGGTATCCTATCTGTTAAACTTTTTAAAGGTGCAAAAGTAGAAAGAAACGATCTAAAGTTGGACTACCGGCTACAGGTGGCTAAATGGGCTTCGACGTTTAGGTGATGGGTGGCTAAAGACTCAAATGATATCCATATTGAGGTTTTTTGGCTAGATCACAAAAAGATCACATGAAAAAAGATGAAATGATTCCACCTTAAGACTGTTGCATTTCCTACATCTTGAACATCTAAACATGTCATTTTGCTACTAACACCACTGACTTTAACTTTATAACTTTTTATGAATTAATTAATGCCTAACACAGCGTATTCAGGCATTTTAAGTAATTTCCCCCTGGGATTATTAAAGTATTTCTGATTCTGATTCAAAATGAAATAAATGTACTGCACATGAAGGCTGGACTTAACAGAAAGACCGGTACAATATGATGCAGCCCTTCAAAGCATATTTGTGAAGGTTGTTGAGTCATATGTACTTAAATTTTTTGTTGCATTATATAGTCTGATGTTCCTGACATTTCATACAGCTCATGTCCTGGCACATTGAAGGCATCATGTGCCGGTCATGATGATTACGATGCCTTTTGTTGCTGAATTCCTGCCAAGAAAGGTAATATAACCTCAGTAAGAACTGTGTAACCACATTTGTGACGTTGAGGAAGTATTTATTAACAACATCTTCATCTTTGTCATTTAATGTATGTCTAAACACAAAAGCATATTTATGATATTATTTATAAATCCATACTGGAAAATACGTAAAGCATATGTGGAAAACAAATTTGATTAACAACTCTTGTCAGTATGAACAAAATGTTGTTGGCTTAACTTAATATCTAAATACTGATAAATTAAGTATTCACTACTATTACAGTTATCTTTTAAAAAACAACCCAGTGTTTTATGTTTTGAAGCTGAAAAAATGCAAATGTTTTTCATAGTGTAGAGATGAACCACATGGAAAGGGGAACCAAAGATTATCTTTTCATACATTAGGCAAATGCAAAACCACCTTTCTCTCTTCCTGATTTAGTACACAAGAGGAAACATAGTTTGCATAAAGACTTGATAGTCAGGCAAGTTTTTTTTTGTCATATTGTTTTCAGACTTTTCTGCCTTTATTCCATAGGACAGTTCAAAATAGACAGGAAAGGGGGATGCACAGCAAAGAGTCGAACCCATGGCCACTATGGCAAGGACTTAGCCTTAGTACAAAGCTCTACCCAGAGCCATTAATATATGAGAGTCACGTCATCTCAGTTTGCTCAATAGACCATGTTTTTATAGCCATGGCAGAACTTGGAGCCTCTCATCAGTTCCCGGAAGTTTGCCAACTCTACCACCAGTTCAGTAGAGTTACAGCCAGAAAGTGCCATTTGTGGTGCACTTTCAGAGGGTAAGATATTTAAAGAATCAGATTGTATATTATAAGCACATATGAAATGATTATTAACATGTGTAATAAAAGCATGTCATTGGATTATTCGCTACAAATTTGGTACATTTTGAACGTTTACAGATAATAGATTAGGCTAGGATACTGGATTAAGGTAGCAATAGTTTACTAACTGTGAATTCTGTTCTGATAATGCTACCACTATATCATCCTTCTTAGCTCGATTTTTTGCGTGGTCTGGAATAAATTATGAATTATGCATAATTTTGGGCTATGTGATTGTAGTCGGTGCAGGTGGTGATACTTTGGAGTATGAGCTATGTAGTATGTTTTGTAATATATAGTCTTTGAGACGTAACTTAAGGGTTGAGTGTTTTTAGGTGTTGTGATTATTTTTCCTGTGTCTATTATGTTGCAGCTCAGCTGATTTTAGATTGATGGGAAAGACCTAAGTGATGTTGAAAACACAAGGTAAGTTCAAAATGGCCAACAATTTCAAGTTTTCAGAAATCAGATCAGAATCAGAAATACTTTAATAATCCCAGGGGGAAATTACTTTTATACTACTTTATAATATAAGTATTCATACTAAATATGTATTCTATTCCTGTATTATGTAAGTAATTTTGTTAGTAATAATATTCCCACTCATTGCATGCTGCAGGCCAGGAGTGTTGCAGGGTGAGGACAAATGATGATACAGGTCACTGCAGAGTGACTTGAGTTTATGTCTCACACACAACAACCTTTGTCCAACCATGTACATATCCCATAGCAGTTGACTGTGCAGTATTAAGGAACACTTTATACTTACTGGACATATGAACACCCATTACATATCTAATAGACAACCCAGAAAATTTGCAAACTTTTTTCGACTTCAGACTGTGCTAAACATCAGCAGCAAACGGTGTTGATGATCAAAACAAAGACCATGCATCATCTTCAAGGCAATTTCCTGTCTAAGCCTGTATAGGTGTGTCTAACCCTTTCTCTGTCTCTTTCTCTCTCTCAGCACAATAACCACAGGGACATTGAACAGAGTCTGAGCCTGCAATGAGACAGAACCCTCAACCTGCACCCTGCATTTCAGGTGCCTGAGTTCTGCAGTCCTTCATGTTTCTGAGTTTATTATTGATTGATATGTATATATACCTATATATATCTTTATAGATATATATGGAATTCTTAATGAGGTAGACGTAGTTAAAGCTCCACTGTGTCGGATTTAGTTTCATCTTGTAGTTCACCGTCCTCTTCTATGCCCAAAGGAAAAAAACACAAACACCCCTATCTCCGTATCTAGAGCCAATGTTTGGTTTGTCCTTTTTGGGCTACTATAGAAACATGGCAGTTCAACATGGCAACCTCAATGGAAGGCGGCCCCTGGCGTCCGTGGATATAAAAAGCTCATTCCAAGGCAACAAAAACATAATCATTCCTATGTTCAGGTGATTATACACATATGAAAACATAGTTTTATTGTATTCCATTCCTGCCAATTGATCATCCTAAATGTTACACACAGGATCGTTAATGTCAAAGATTTTGAGATACAATTCTGAAATTGACTGACCAAAACAGTAGTACAATGTGATGGCCCCCTTTCCACTTACAGTTAGGAAGAACTGATAACACGTTTTAGTGCTGATACAATCGCTGAGTACAAAAATAAGTAATTGTTTAAACTAAATGAATAGAAGAATGACTACACTGGTATGCTGTCCCCAGCCAGGCGTGTCAACAGTCACTTCACATTTGTTGTGTGTTAAGTACTATGTAGTATACATAAGTCATAAGTACCAACTTTTGTTTGATGTTGGGATACAGCTTGAGCTAGACTCAGCTAAAAAGGAAACATATATATCAAATAACTAGGTCTACAGACTGTAATACTGGAATAAGAACTAATTTGCATTAAATGAAAAAAGGATTTCCTCTCTTTTCGAGTGCTAATAATATGCATCTTGTGTGCTGAAAGTGGTCCCAAGGAGACATGACACAGTGGAGAGGACATGAACATTTCTGAGTGGCACCAACACAATAAATGTCTTCCTGTTTTGATTTAAAATCAAGGTACCAAGACCATCAGGTTGAATTCATATGGGGAGCTTCAATACCTATATCTGTAAGGTACACAAACATGAAACACAGAGAGACCAGATTGATACCCACGCAGACTGCAGACATAGTTTAGCTCTGTCAGACACACTACGTACTATTCTAATTTATACTGGATCAATGGTGATAGTGTTATGCTCATCTTATTAAGTGCTTACAGTCCATGGTTCAGAGCATAGAATATGTAATTAGTGGATGTGGTGAATAAACTGGCCAACACTGCAACCGTACACAGTGGGCCCATTTCCTTATTGAGTGGCAATATTAGCATAACTACAACCAGCTACATTTGGTAAATAGGCATGGGTAAAAAATTTAATTCAGCACTCACAAACACCAAAAGATAGAACACGTTGAGTAATATGTTATAGTATGGGTACATAAGTAAAAAGAGAAATTGGTAAAATGAGGTGGACCAATAGAGGTCGAAGTTTGATTACTGGGGTAACCTATTTCAACGGTGTACAGCATGCTCTTTTTTGGATAGAGTTCATAAAGATGAAAGACAAATAAGAAAAAACAATTCAACAATAAACTCACAGAAAGACATCTTCATTTGTCCACAATGCATGGGATACCAGCACAGAGAAAAAAGGTAGAGTAGAGTAGGGCTTAGTAGCCTTTATTTATGACTCCTGGTTAATGACTTAAATCTTAAATGTATATGTGAACAAAGTTGTGCACACAAACTCCACAAAATCTGAATCTGTACAACACCTTCACAAAACCCCTGAAATCCTGCACCCTGATTTTGACCTAAATACTAAAACTTCAATTAGACAAGTACTGAATGGAATTGTGTAAGTGTGTCTGTAGTGTAGCCAGTAGACAGTTTCACAGTGAGGTGCTGCCTTCATGTGGTGACTTTAGTGTTATAGCAACCTCAAAAAACTGTTGAACAGAAAGGACATCACACACATTGCATTTTATGTTGTTATTAAATCACTGTTGTACATTTAAATATCTAAATTAGTGCAGGGCTTAACAGTATGAACTTCATGTTGGTTTTCACTGAATGAAAACAATGAAAACGATCACAGTTAATATCCACCATCTCTGACGATACCTGTACAAATGAGTAATATCATCAAACAATATTAAGAGTCTTAATGCTCTGTGTGGCTGTATATAGGTACAGTGCTACTTTGAGCTAAATGCTAAAGTTAGCATGCTAACATGCTTACAGGGACATGTTGATGCTAAGCAGGTATAATGTTTACCATGTTCACCGTCTTCATTTTGTACACAAAGTACAGCTGAGGCTGATGGGAATGTTATCCATTTTGCATTTAACTAAAACTTGACTAAGTATTTAGTCATGTATTAAAGTATTGGGCAATTTGAAATGTAGGTCAGTTAGTGCCAGCTCTCAGTGTGTAATTCTTTTTTAGAAAGTAATCGGCACTAATATGTAAAAATATGTTTCCGTTATTGCTGTCTGTTCACTGTACGTTTTAATGACATGAATAAAAAGGATGCATTAATCATATGAGGTTATGTGCACAACAATAACACTAAATACTATTAGAAAAGCAACCAGCTACTTACATAAACTGACATGACAGATAGTTGTTGCTCACTGTATACACTTGAAAAATGTGTGAACCAGCCCACTGTGTCACAATGACATTTCCATTATACGCTCATACTGTATAGTAAGTGTTGAATAATCAATAAAGGCTGTGAAAGCTGTGCCTAAAATTACGCATTACACCTTAAAAAACTGGACACTTTAAAAATAAAAAAAATTATCTTTAACATAAAACTTTAGGTTACAACGAAACTACTATGTACTTTTGATGGTCATGTACTCTAAAAGGACAAATTCTTAGGCCTTAGGCCTGAAGTACATCAGTTCTTCTGTATACAGTAATAGATATTCACTAGAGGCTGCTACTGGCTAATTGTTTTGGTATAAGTCTGAATGAGACTTTGGAAGTACTGCTGCGTGTTTTTGTATGATTGAAAAATTATGATGTAACATTTTGGGAGGAAATAAAACAACAGAAAGGAGTAGAGACTGGAGAGTACTGACAGAGCTTTCAGTGTTGGGATGTACTTTCCACGGTAAAGTACATATACAGTGGAGAAGATGATCCAGGTGAGGATGAGCACAAGCAGGCAGAAGGTTATTGCTTTGGCCTCATTGTAATTTTTTGGGAGGTCTTTTCCCATGTAGGAGAAAATAAAGCAAAGGGAGCACAAAGATAAAAGTAAAACCACAGAAGTAGAAGTTGCTTTAAGATTAATGTCACAACCAAGTATGATTTTGTCTGGGTACCAAACTGTCTCATTGTAGGGCTTGGATGGGACCAACGAATAGCCAATAAGAAGTAAGAGTGCCTGAGTAAGAAATGCCACAGTGATGACCAGCCATTGTCCATGATATTTCATCCACCAACTGTGGAGCTTGGGGAGCTTGGCAGCTATTTTGAAAACGCAAACAATTTGGAAAGAGCGAACCACAAAACATGCCAGACAAACAGTGTAGAACAAAAGGAATGGCAAGAACCTTAAGATACAAAAGGAAGTTGTTGGTTTACCAAAGTAAAAGAACACACTAAGACTACACAGACTGAGGCAACCTAAAATTAGGAAGCACATTGGTCCCCCAGCAGATCTGACAACAGGGGTGTTGTAGTTGATGGCAAAGAGAACGGACATGGCTAGTGTGAGACCCATCAAGGTGCAGGCCCCGACCATGATCACTATAGCCCCACTGTGTGTGAATGGGATGTACTCCACCACCCGCAGACTGCATGATGTACTTCCTTCTGCAGACCATTCTGTCTCCTTACAGTTGATGCACTTGTAGGGATCCTCTGTTGTACATGAAAGAGGGATGATTTGTCAATAAAGTTAGGGTTAACTTTTGAAAAATCTTCTGTGGGTAAAGAGAGATCAGTTTAGGAAGCAGTGTTCGATGTTTCATCTGTGTATGTTCTCCTAAAATGAGCTTCTACTTCATGTCAAACTTGCATTACAGTTTACAGTGATATACGGTAGAGGTAACTGTAACAAGATGAATATTTATTATTGCTTTAGTTTAATTGGCGTGTCAGTAAAAATGGAAGCTGATTGGCTCTGTCAAATTGACATGAAATAACTTTTAAACCCTCTTGTCTATAACAAATCTTTAAAATGAACTCCCATCCAGTAAAGAATAACAGCACTGCTAATTGTCTTCCTCTGATGTATTATAATTTACCTATACTGTTGACATATGTTCCATTTGGACAGATTTCACATTTGAAGCAGCATTTGTGGATTCCATCATACATTTTTGAATATCCTTCAGAACATTCTTGGGAACACTGTGAAGTAGGCACCTGTACAAGACAATTATATAGCAGAAAAGTAAACGTAAGTGCACGATAATACCATAAAGAGGTGACGGCAGAGGATGGAGAAATAGCAGTAATTAGACCTATACAGCTTTTTGAAATCCAAACAGGATATGTAAAATGAAGTCAACATTGAGTATTATATCTAGACGTCCATGCGAATGACACCATAAACAACCACCATTGGCTGATGTTCCTGATGTTGTGGTTTGCTCCCTGTCACAGTTATTTCTAAACAAACATATGTTTATGCACATGCACATTCATCCACACACAACCCTGCAGAAATGGGAAAACCAAAACAAAGTGTTTTTTTCAATCAACATGTACCGTATAAACTCTTTGTAAGAAAACACTTACTTCTCCCTTTGTGTACCACTGAATTTTGCTGTTGTTGATGTAGAAATGGAAAGATGGATGAAAATTATAAAAGCCGACCTCCTCTGCATCCCCACTGTGGTTCCAGAAAACTATGGAATACGATCCGTGCTTGGGGTCACCATTCTCATCAAACTCAATACTCCGGTTTAGAAGTGTAAAGTTTGACTTCCTCAGCTGTGCTAGAACCTGATGTGGGTACAGAAAGTTCAGATTAGTTGCATGTGTTCACAATGAACATATGAGGCGTTTATTAAATTTTTTTATTTTTTTAAATATTCCTGTGGAGGGAGGAACTGCAGTGTGATGCCCATCTATAGAGTTTTTAGGGAAGAGGATGAACAGATTCTACACATCTTATATCTCAGAAAATTATTTTATTATTTAAAGTATACTACAGGAAGCCATCAGTAGAGGATCTATTATCTGATTTCTAATGGTTGACCGACAAAAAACTGGTTTGATCGTATTATGATACTAAAACAGACCCCTTTGTTTTGTTGATTGGTCACTTTCAATTTGTCTGTAAGATGAACTTGAACTTAAACAAGAATCAGCCAGTAAGAATACATTAATTGATTTCTTAAATTATTTGTAACTTACCATGTGTGGGTACACTGTAATATTGCCATTACATCCACCAGATCCGCATTGCAAAGTATTGTGTAAGGCATGAGCGATGGCATATACAGCAGAATAAACAGGAAAAGAGAAAGATGGGTCTGCAGCAATGATATCTTCTGCACTCAGGTTACTGCAGCTGCAAACCTGATTACAAAACCTCTCTTGTTCTGCATTTTCACAATGATTCTGGCTTTTTGAAGAATAGATAAAATCACTGAAACCAGGTATGGTCACTACTGGCTCAGCAACTCCAAGTACAGTTCCGATACTTTTGGTGGCTTTCTCCTTGGGGAGCTTCTTGTTTAAGGACCATGCATCTCCGGCTATCCACACTTTGTCTTTGATTTTCAGTTGTATTGCTGCCTTAATGAGAGCTTCAGCAGTCCATTCAGGAGCAAAAACAATAATAATACGTATCCTCTGTGCCTGTATCTGTTTGAATACTGGGGTATAATCTGTTTTAGAATCGAGGGCTTTGGTGTACGCCAGGCAGATCTCAGTGTCCTTAATCATATTTATGAACAATTCCCGTCCATCATTTCCATAGTCATCATCAATGTTAAGGAAAGCAACCCAGCGCCAGTTGAAGTGCTGCAAAATCTTTACAATCACTTCTATGACGTCTTTATTGGGATGCACGGTTCTTAAGAAAGAGGGGAAATTCTGTTTTCTTGAGAAAATCGAACTAGCAGCTCCATAACTAACCTGTGAAAAGAGTAATGAAGAAATTGTCATTATTATCATTGACAAAGAAAATCTCAAAAGTTATTAGCTTGATATAACATTATTTTATCACGATCTATTTGGTAAAAATATGTTAACAATAGTTGGTAAACTTACCATGGGAATGAGATTCATCATGAAGAGTGGGGCTACAGTCCGTGTCTCAGTGCTTGTATAAGTGCCGACCACTGCTATCAGTTTGGACAGATTCTTGTGTGGTTCACGCCAAGGTTGGATCAAGCCATCCTCTGAGATGAGATTAAAAATTCCTGGGAAATTCTGTGTATCTGAGCAGTGGTCAAATATTTCATAGCCGAGAGAGACATTTGGGAGTAGGTTGGTAGAGTTATTGATTTCCTCTACAGAGAATCTCATCAGCTGAAACCTCCGATAGCTTGACAGAATGAAGGGTTTACTGTGGACAGAGAACGGAAGTATTAAACAATCTTGGATTCAAACACTTTTTTAAATGATGTTATGGCAAGATCACAAGTGAATTATTTTGTTATCTCAGGATAATGGAGCTTTGCTCTGTGGGGTAGGTTTGGGCAAACCATACAAACCTTTTATGAACTTTTGCCATTAGTTGTAACTATGTTTTCTCTATGGTGAATTTATATGAGGGAATTTACATTATGGCTAATTGGATAGGCTTACATACAGTGGTCAACTTCAAAGCAGGCAACCAGGGGTTAAATTGGGCACACCAGCCTAATAACAAATCCCAGTATAACCCGTGCCAGAGCATAACAATCAAAGTGGGCGTCTTGCAGTGATGCTTGTCTGGCTAATCTAGCTGGGTGGAAGTTAAGATGGCGATTGTCACAAGGTCCACTGCACTTAATCCAGTCCCTGTGCTTCCTTTTGAGACTCATGAATGTATTTCTGGGCTGTCTGGACTGAGAGACCCCAGAGACCCCTGCACCATCATGGGCCTATTTGTGGTCTGCTTCAAGTTGACCACTGTATGTAAGCCTATCTCTTTCAATAATTAGCCATAATGTAAATTCCCTCATATCAATTTACTACAGGGAAAAATGTTGTAAGGTGTTTATCGCAAGAAATAGGCCTTAACGAGGAAAATTAGCTTTCTTATCCTGAGGTAATGAAAAAAATTAACTTGTAAGTATTACTGTATGAAGGCAGACAAGAATATCTAAGAGGATTCTGTATAGGATGGACAGAGTTCAATAATGTAGACTTGATGTCCAATTTTGGAAATAGAACAATTGTTTCAATCATTTTTGTGAGAAATACATTACTTGCTATATCTATTGACCTGAAGTTTGAGGCTAAACTCTTAATATATTTACTTATTAGAAAACTCACCTGGAGCAGTCAGTAAATTCTGGTCTGTCATGATGAACAGAGGCTTTGGCGTGATGAATATCAAAAAGTCCACCTATCAAATAATCTCCATCCAGTTGAAACTCTGAGGTTGGGGCAGTGCATTGAGCCAAGGCTCGAAGAAAAGTTCCCAAGAGACACAGACAAGCAAGACCGTGTTTCATTGTTGTAGTTGTAATGTTGTTTACCAATCTGATGTTAACTCTCATGGGATTAGCCTCTACTTTTACAAAGTGATGAGATACCGGTGACAGCTAAGCCTCATTTCCATGAATTTGGGAGTGCATAAGGTGTCATAAATAGACACCTATAGATGAGGAGAATACACAAATCAGTATGCAAACATTATCCAAAATTCTGCTACAGAGCCCCAGTGCTGTATAAACACTGTTTGATGAGCACTGAATGTGTGGCCTGTTTTGAGCTTTTTGTCACCACCGATCTAGAGATGTTTGAGTGCGGACAATAGGTGAATTATTAACTGTACTGAAACTGAGTCGACTTATAGAACTGAGTCACACCTTGGGTCCAGATGATTTTACTTGGTTGTTTGTTCTCCATGAATACCTACAAAATACGAAGCCGAGACATGTACTGTTTGAGGGGACACAGCCTCTTTAATAGCATTTGGAGTGAAAAAATTACACTTAAGTTATTAAAATCAAGTTTTTGTTTATAACTGTAGCACAAGAAAACAATAACATGCAATCCATGAGAAACATATTTAATTCATCAAATCTAGAACCCAATTAACCAGTTCTGCTTTCATCAGTTTCAATTGAAATGGATTTAAACACTTGGAAACAGTATGGTGGTTGGAAGAAAAAACAAAAATAAAAATAATCTCAAAAGAATTTCATATTTTAAAATATATATATATACAAATCCTCCAGACAGTCCTTTGAAACACAAACTTTTTACAGGAAAATGTTTTGATCCCTTACTACAGTGCTGATCAAAGTTAAGTAATGACAGATAATCCCCAGCATTCTGATAAAAATTGAGAAAAAACCCCCCCCAACAGGTTTAAAGAAAAGAAAGTGTGATCGACACCCACTTCATCCATTTGTTATAATAAAAGCTCTCAATCTCTGTTTTCTTATGTTTCCTCTGCAAAAGAAAGAGAACAAAAGTTTGCTTGGAATGACTATATTTACCATAACGTTTTTCAAAGTAAACACAGATTATAAAGGACTACAACAGCTAGTCTACACAAATCGAATGGACCTTAGGTTTTGAAACACAGATGGGTAAATGTTTCAAAGAGCAAAGGTCAACAGGGGAAACGTGATTGCTTGACTAATATCACAGATTAGACCTTGTTATGAATTGGACTTGAATACCGGTTGTGCACTTTAAAGACACAGTTTATTATGAATAATTATCCACATCCAAGGGTGTAAAAATCTGAGGTCATTCAAATTCATCAACTTGCCCCCAAAAATAATTAAGAAATTTGGTTTAGGGTTGGCCGACGACAAGGTATCCCATCTGTTAAACTCTACAAAGGCGCAAAAGTAGAAACAACTGATTTAAAGTTAGACTACAGACTACAGGAGGCTAAATAGGCTGGGGTTAGTGACACTCGCTTTAAATTATGCATTCAATGAAGTGGTGGGTGGCTAAAGATTCAAATGAAGTCACCGATAATGAACCATATTGACCTTGCTCTGCTGGCTATGCTAGCAAGAATCAGGTAATACACAGAAATTCAGTAGCCAATTCAAGATAAACATTTATACAAAATTATTTGTGCTAAGGGTAATCATTTGAAGAGATGAATTACAAGAGGTGTTTGTTTATTTTAACTGTCATGAATGCATATTCAAGGTAAATGTGACTAATTTCTCCAATGTGTCTGCATTTTACACAGAATACAACTGGCTGAGACACCAAAGCGTTCGCACAGTTTTATCACAAAAGATGAAATGATTCAACTCGAAGACAGTTGCATTTCCTTCAGATTTCATTTTACACATCTAATCATGTTATTTTGCTACTAACACTACTGACTTTCAATGTATAACTTTTTACAAATAAGTAGGTACCAATATATTAAATCAAAAGTTGGCAGATTTATTTCACTTGGGAGAAGGATTGGAATCACCATCATTGAGAAAGAAAAAAGAAAAAAGAAAATATTTCACTGCAATTTTTTCCCCAGTGCATTTCCTTCTTGATGATTTTATACTTACCCCATCGGTTTAAAAAGGCAAAAGGCAACACTGAGTCTCACCTACTAATGAGCAAATGCAGACCAATCCTAAACTGAGGATTGTGGTCCTCCAAAAAAAAAAGAAAAAGAAAAAAATGGACAAAGGCCATATATCCCAACTAATTTGATCCGTGCTGCTCATATCCTCATCCAACACTGACTCATGGATCAAAACTCATATGTTTCGTGTTATGTTTTCATGTTACTGTCCCACTTACAAAAAAAGAAAAAGAAAATAAATCTCTAACCCTGGTCACTCCCTAGCTGTGACAGATAAATTTCAAATGAGAAGGAAGGGAAGGGTAGGAGGGAGTTTTTAACTAGCAAAAGTTTTCCCTGTTTCGTCCTTGCCTTTGTATGTCCTCTTCCCATGTGTGAAGGGTAGGTATCTGTACTTGACCATGTGCTAGAGAAGGTGAGGAAGAAAAGGAGGAGAATTAGTGACAGGTATTTCAAGAGTTTGCTGATTGCTGGTTCAATCAGGTAGATAACAAAAAGAGAAAGATTTGGCACTTTGCACCAGATATTCAGATATTCAAAATTAAACAAATGCCCTTTATATAGGGTGGACATTACAGAAACACCTGTACATTATAATGCAGCCCTTAAAACACATGACCTTTGTAAAAGTCAATGTTGAGTTTTGGTAAAAAGCTTTGTCAGAGGGTTGTTGAGTCATCGCTATCCAAATACTTGTATTGCATTATATAGTCTGGTGTTCCTGACACTTTATACAGCTCATGTGCAGGGACAGATTTGCTCCCTGTCTTTTGCATTTGCCACAAGCAATAGATATTCTGTGTAATCTGAAGAAAGCTTTTTAAATAAACTGCAGTGTTTTTGCATTACACACTGCATTACACTGTGATTTCAGTATAGCCACAATGTATATGCATGTATTATATGTACTGTGTATATGTCAGTCAATGTATAATTTTTACCTTGATCTGCCTCTTCATGGTGATGCAGAAGAGCATGATGAAGTACATTACAAGTATAGGCCAGAACACTGGCACATTGAAGGCATCAAAAAATGTGCAAATCATGGCGATGACGATGCCTTTTGTCGCCGAATGCCTGCAAAACAAAAGTAATACAACGTCAGTTAAAACTGTGTAACCACATCTTGTGACATTGACAAAGCATATATTAACAACATCCTCTTCTCTAACTCACAGTCATTTAATGAATGTGTCATGTGTTTCTGGACACTAAAGGATATTTCATTTTGGGATCAATGGGGAGAGTAACACGTGGAAGGGATTTATGAATTTATAGCATGAAAAAAAAAAATATTGGAATATGTTTTCACTGAAAATAAAACAAAAACCAACAATTGGCCACACAGGCCATTCGAAAGAACATAGTTTGCAATCACTCTGCACAGTGCTAGAAATTGAGGATGTCCCATTGTCCCAGGGACAATAGAAAATAGCACCTGGGACATAAAGATAGTGTCTAGGACAATTCTGGGACAGAGAAATGTATCATTGCAAATAGAATTCTGTTTATGCAACGAGGAATATATATCATTTTAAACATTAGGTGTTCAAATTCACAAAATGTGAAGTGGCACGAGCTCTATGCTACATCACATGCGCGCTTATACACACAATCAATCATAGAAAGTCTCTTTCGCTAGATTTTGCAACTTTTCAGACCATTTTAGGGGCTTAATTTCCAAAAAGCCACTAGCTACAAATGTAGCAACTAATTCAATCAATCAGGCAAAAGGCGAAAAACACATCCAAAAATAAAAATTCTAATTAATTCCCATGCATGCTACTCAGTCAGCGCAGTCTACAGCTCTTCTGTCTCCCTTTCTTCTTGTGCCATGCTCTCGCTCTTTTTCTCACCAGATCTTTGGATCAGTGTGTTCCTATAGCTTTTATGTAAATAGTTTATTTGACCTTCTCTCTCAAGCTTTCTCTCCGTATGTCTGGATTAGGGTGTTCCTTTAGCCTATGTGTAAATTGTTTGAGGTTGTAAATATTTAAATAGTTTGTTGGATCTTTAACCTCCCTTTGTAGATAAAAAACAAAGAAACTTTATTTCAAATACAATGCCTGTGTAACAAGTTTGTGATTATTTGGCTAAATAATATTAATGTTCAGAGTCCATGTATGGACATTTCTATCACCGTACACCAATCAGATGCTAGTTTGTATTTGCACTGCAGTTTTACAGTGATCAAACAGAAATAAACAGGAAACAGTAACTTAACCAATGACAAAGAATATTGTAAACATATTGTGGATTACAATTTATTTTATTCAGACATAAGCGCAGGAAAAATTAGCAGTGCTTCCATGGCAGACCAGAAACAAAGTTATTAAACTATATTCATTGTGATAAATTAAAGTTAAATTTGGGTGCAATGGTTGTTAAGTCTGGGACAGTTGAAAGTTGGATTTAGGACAGTTGTGGGACACAGAGCTGGACTCACCAGAATTTGAATTCAGGCAACCTCCTGATGAAAGGGCGGAACTCTTCATTCTGCTTGGTAGGAAGGGATGGGCCCTCATCTGCAGGAGACATAGGTTACAAGAAGTTACTTAAACTGAGAAATCTTGACCAGCTATGTCCCAAGCAAGAACAACAACACCACTATCAAAAATATATTTTATTTAAAAACACCAAATGACTGTAGAACTTACTTCTTTAAATAATTTTCACAATCTATCAGTTGAGGCCACATAAGATGAGTAAACTATTTTCCAATAGTTTTTGAAACTAAGCAGTCACCGCTATGATGTGCTGGCTTCCAAGAGATTACTAGTTTAAAAGTGTGGGTTGCAGTCTGACATGTGATTTCCTTGGATGTTATAAGTTTTACTTTGTGGATGTGTTACTCTATTTGTTTCAATCCATTTTTTCGAAGTTACACATTTTCAACTAACTGCAAAACATGAATTTCCACTCCATCCTCAAATGTATTAATGTATAATGGTATTCTGTCCTGTTCAGACAACTGTATATGAAGCTTTCCTACCAACCCTTGTTGTGTATGAGAAAGCATTCTTAAGGCTCTTATACACTCGCCGTTCCC